CTTGGGATCAAATTCTCGAAGTCTACCATGAGTAGCCATGATCCCACCCTCGTCGCCAAATTGTGATATATTTAAAACTCTTTATTTGGTAAAACTCGAGAAACAAGGGATAGAGAGGGAGAGAGAACAGAAAGAACAATCGAATGGAAAAAGAGAGAGTGTGTGACTGTGTGTGTGTGAGGAGCACGTGCTACAAAAACTATATAATAATAATGGTACATAAATAATAAGACATACATGTATAACCTTATTGCTATTCACAGTAACCACATAACATAAACATTAGAATAACTACAATAACTACAACAATAAGAATAATACATATATACATACATTACACTACACACATTATCTCAGGCCAAATTTTGTCAAAATTTGAAAGGAAAGAATTATTCACTTTTAATTTTTTTTCTGATACATGTACATGTATATGTATATGTACTTATGTTGTGTAGAAAGTTTGAGCTGATTACTATTATGTTTGGTTTTTATGAATTTTATTTGCTCAAAAAATAATGTGTATTTACATGTACATGTACAATGATTTGGCAATGCTCGTGATTATGGTAATATTGTGATAACAATTATAAAAGTCAGTGGTAATCAAGCAAATTTAAGAGACATATGGATTGATTGCATCTTGTATACATAAGCCATGAAGCTAGTTATTAAGTAAATAAGAATGACAAAAAGAAAAGTATGGTAGATTTAGTAAACTGATGATAGATGATAGACATTAGTCATAGGACTCAGGTGAATACACTTCTGTCTTCATAGCAATGGAGGAGCAGCGCCCTGGCTCCTGGAAGCAAAATTTACCAAAACGGGAATTACCAAAGGGTGAGAATAGGCCTATGAAAAACTGCTTAAAAAGCCAAAACAACAACCAAAGAGCTTACAGGAGAATAAAAAGAGTGTGATGAAACAAAAAGAGAGCTCAAAGTGGCTCCTAAAGTAAGGATGACTTGATAACATAAGAAAATGTTCAGCCTGCCTGTTCACCAAAAAATCCGCCATCTTACTCCAGTTGAGAGGTGCGTGTTAATTAGAATGTTCGATGCACAAGGTCCATTAATTCGCAGTAACACGTGTGCATTGTGCACTAGCAAGATATAAGACATATTATTGCATAGTATAACTGCTGATGTGGTGTAATGATAACTGCTGGTTCAGGTTGACAAAAAACACCTCCTTTGAATTTATCAATAATTACAATTGATAATAAACTCAAAGGCAATTTTTTTCCTAAATTTGTGATTGTTGATAAATTTTAACGGTGATGTTTTTGTCAATCTGAATTCTGAAGTAAAATTTTTGCAGCCCTGCATTGGAGGCACCCACTTTTCCAACCCAATGCACAATGAAACTGTACAATAGTGTAAACAAAATTAGTAAACAAAATTAGTAAACAAGTAAAAGTGCATTTGTAAACAAGAGTATAGTTTATGCAAGCAAGATAACAAATAATACCAAGAACAGTAAACATGTCATGAAAAGAAATCAACAACAGTGATTTAACTTTCAAGTACAATAATATTAGTGTTTGTGACTAAACCATTAATTTTTTCCATATAAAGGAGGGCATGTGAACCTAGTTTTATAAGCCAAGCCTGGCCTGTGAATCTGCTCTATTAGAAAGCTTCCTTTTGCAACTGATAATTATGGCAAAACAGTTGGAACAGCTTTATGAATACCCTGATGCCTACACAACAGTGCAGAGAAATGAGAACGTGTATCAACTTGGAGAAATTTATAATTGAGAAGAAGCAAAAAGCCAAGAGTCTCTTCTATCTACTCCTGGACTTACTGCACCTCCTAATGTAGCAATGGAGCCTAAACAAAAGCAGTCATCTTGGAGTAAACCGCTACTGTTGATGACAGTATTACTCTGTCTCATATTGATATTATTAATAATTATACTGGGCATTGTAGTGTATGATAAGTATGCTACTGGTAATAATGTTGAGTGTACTAATACTGCAACTGGTGCTAGCAGTAGCAGTAATACAAATGAATGGGCTGATCGCACAACTCAAATATTTCTTCACAAAAGCTCATTAACATTGTCAATACTCTCTCTAATCTACAAGACACCAGTACCTCTACTGCTGGTGTGGTTGATGATTTACTACTAATAGCACAAGAACTATTAGTACTACACAATGACTCAACTGCTTTAACTACCTCTTGTAAGCATTTACAGGAGCAGCGACCTAACAGTTCATCAGGTTATTATATACTGGCAGGACCTACTGGAACATATTCAACTTACTGTAATATGGGAACATTGTGTGGTTCAGGAGGAGGATGGACAAGACTAGCATATCTGGATATGTCTGATGCTACTCAGAACTGTCCTTCTGGGTTTAGACTGTACCAGTCAGGAGGAGTTAGAGCTTGTGGTAAATATGGTGGTGGCTGTGAATCAGTTCAGTTCCCATCTAACAGTATCAGTTATTCTCAGATATGCGGTAGAGTAACAGGATATCAATACGGAAGACCAGATGCACTCAACAATTATAAAAATATCAATTCTTATTACGTTGAAGGTGTTAGTATCACTCGTGGGTCTCCTCGTCAACATGTCTGGACACTAGTAGCTGGTCAAAGGGAATCAGATACTTCATCAGGTTCTTGTCCATGTAATAATGGTAGTATAGAAACAGTGCAGTCTTTTATTGGTAACAACTACTTCTGTGAATCAGGTAGTCCTAACTACCCATCATCTACTTTGTACACATCTGATCCACTCTGGGATGGTCAAGAATGTAATGGCATCGAATCACCTTGCTGTAGTGTTCCTGGTATCCCATGGTTTCACAGAGACTATGGTAACACTACCACTACTGACTATATTGAGTTGAGGGTGTGTGCTAGTATCGGTTCTGAAGACAGTCCTGTCAGTAATGTTGATATTTATGTCAAATAACTTGATGAACAATGGAGTATACCAGTTTTGTTAAAATGTTGTCATCTGTTTGTGTTTGTTGTGTTGTGTTTAAAATAAAATTTTACTAGAGGTTACAATCAGAATATTGTCAGTTAGATGTTTCACAAAATCAGTACTATAATCTGAGAATTATGCGTCAACATGTACATGTACATGTACTGGTATTTGCAAGGGTTTATGGGCTTTAAGCAACTCGTGGTAGTATTAATTTCAGTTTATATAGTCATCAGATTTTGCTGCCCCATCACATGCATACTACAGTGAGTCAGTCGACTCAGTCAATGATACTAGACCTATATAGGGATATGGATAGTAAGTATATAACGGAAACAGTACAATAATGTAAACAAGTAGTAAACAAGTAAAAGTATACAGAAAACAAAAGTATACAGTTAAACAAAATAATCATACAGTAAACATCAAACATGAGTAAAGTCAACCCTGATGTTATTTTCAATACTTTTTTACCTTTTTGCCAAAAAACATATGCTGTTATAGTTTATGGTTTTTACCAAAATACTGTCATACATGTAGTGCTTGTCAGCTCATGAAGCTCATGCTGTTTAGCTCACTTAGTGGGAAACCCTGATCTGATTGTATTACACTCTTTCTCTCCTTTAGATAAAAGTTGCTCATTTTGAGCCGGACCTAATCACATTCACTGGTGAAGCTAGCTACCCTAGACTCTCTTTCTCCATCTCAAGGCCAATCATTGCCCCGGAGGAGTCATCATACCAACAAGCAATAGACAGACTGAAGAAGAGACACAAACCTAAAGTCAGGGCACCTGTAAGTATATACTATAGCGTAAAAATTAATACTGTAGAGCGCCTTTTTCTGAGGGCTATAAATTTTGTGGATTTTGAGAATTTTTATATTGAAAACACGAATATTGTGGCCTCGAATAATAAAAATTAATTGCAAGGGGGTGTTACAACATGTTTCTCGTGGGCATTTTTATAGTAAAAGATGGCCTTTTGGACTATTTTCAGCTATTTTTGGATGGTAGACTTGATGTTCTTTCACAACTTCTTTGGCTTTATCCAAACTCTACTGGTCCTTTGTCAAATCATGTACCTCAGGGAGCAATTGTGTCAGATAAAAGGAGTGTTAGTTAGGGAGTCATGATTTGTGAAATTTACTTTTGCTAAAAAGGGAACTCGAAATTTATAGCCCTTGGAAAAAGAGCACCCTATGGTAGTACTACTACTTTTATATGTAACATATACATCTTCTCATTTTTTGTCTCTCTTTGTTTCCCCAGTATACTATCACTGATGAAGACATTGAGAAAGAAGTAGAGTCATTGTACATTGAGCAGTTTGTGAAGGAGCATAACCTGGTCTGTACCAATGGGGCTAAATCCTGCAAGATAAAACCAGTCCTTCCAGAGTACCACCTTGACTTTGGTCACATAGTCTATGGACTGGTAGCCTCACAGACTGTCTGTTTAACTAATCCAGGCCCGTTCTCTATTAGCTTCTCTCCCTCTCACTCTGCATTGAGTGGTACTGGTTTCTCTGTTGATGTTGATAAGAGGATCAAGGGCCTTCCTCCTGATGGGGCCCTTGAGTTCACTGTGACATTTGACCCAGCCTCAGTTCGCTCCTATGGTAATGTAGAGGCAAAACTACCTTTCCAGGTAACAGGGGACACAATGTACATGTACATTCCATTTCTTATACTGTACTTGTACATCTGTACATTTTACATGTACATGTACGTGTACATGTATGTCACATGTAACATTTTATTTATTGCATTTTTGGTGCCATTGTTTAATTTTTGTATTTTTCATGTTTAAATATTCCCTCTCTCTCTCTCTCTTTTTACTTCAGTTATTAGGTGGTCCAATATATCCATTGCGTCTATCAGCCCAAGTAGCATTACCAATGATGGAGATATCAGACTTTGATTTGGACTTTGGTCTTGTATTGTGTGGGCAGTGTCACATCATCACACTCCGACTGTACAACCCACAGCAAGTCAAGTAAGCAATTGAGCATGTGTACTGATGTCCACATGTATACATGTACATGTACATGTACTTGTACATGTGTATATTCACTGTATCATGTTTTTGTGCTTTAGATGTGAATGGAATGCTATTTTGGAGAAGCCACCAAAAAAGGTAAATTAATTATTATTATTAATTTTACATTTTTATGCTACACAAAAATGAACATGTACAATCAACTAACTACATGTACATGTATTTATTTTTATACTACATGTATCAATGAATAGATTCCTAAGCACACTCCACTTCACATTAAGAAGAAGATGAAAGAGAAACCTCCTCCTCAGTTGTTTGAGATTGAGCCCAGTGCTGGCATATTGCTCCCTGGACAGAAGATGGACATTCAAGTTCGATTCATGCCCTGTGAAGAGGTCAGCAGCATAATTACTATATACATGTGTACATGTATACATGTATATGTACATGTACATGTACATGTAGTACATTTACATGGATAGCCAGACTAGTACATGGACTATAGTACTTGTACACATGTACATGTATTGCTTTTTATGTACATTTAGGATGTTAATTTAAACTGATTATTAATATTTTTTATTTGTATTGTATAGCAACTCTATACTGACAAGATACCAATAAACATTCATCATAATCCAGAGGCTAATCTGGTATTGAGTATGGAGGGGCGGGGCAGTGAGCCACAGCTCGTGTTCGATAAGCACCTCATGGAGTTCTCTCCGATACTTCCCTTCACTACCTATGGGTCTGAGGTAGAGGTGACTGTGAGTAACCCAATGGAGTATCCTATTGAGTTTTACTCTGTGGAATTCGATAAACAATATCTACTGGAGGAAGAGGTTAGAGAAGAAATATATTTGTACATGAGAGAGAGGGAGAGAGTAGAGAAGATGAGGAAAGGAAGGAACAACAATGAGAGCTGCACATGTACATGTAATGCATGTACATGTACACTGTACATGTATATAATGTACATGTACTTGTTGGAGTTAGTTCAGTTTTTATTCCTAGGCCTTGAGATGGGTCAAAGGTTACGATAAGAAGAATCGTCTCTTTATTCCTCCAGTTGAGCTTGGGAAGGGACTGCCTTTTGAAATAATGGAAGCATACAAGAAGGACATTTATCAGACCAAGCCACTCCTAATCACTGACTCACCTCCTGATACATCAGGAGGGATCAACCTAGACGACAGTATCATCTCTGTAGCTGAAGCACCTCCTCAACCTTTAGGAGACTCACTCTTAAACCCGACTAAACCTTTAGAGTTCCGCTCACCTTTACCCAGCTCCACTGCCCTCCTACCACAGGCAGTCTCCACTGCAATGCTCAGTAATGCAACTGTTGGCTCACTCTACAGTGACCAGCAGTTAGATGGGTATGACACGTCACCAGTTGCAGCATGCATAGCTAGGTACCTCGGTATTGATATATCACCAGAGGCAGCTATTGCAGAGATGAGACGAGGCATTGCTATTGTTATATACGGCTCTCCTTACTCCGGTAAAACAACACACTCACGCAAACTAGCAGCTTTATATGATATACCAATACTAACGATTGATGGTCTGGTTATTGATGCAGTCTCTACTGCTAGCACTTCTGCTGGTTGTAAGGCACGAGAGTCGCTAATGGAGTCTACCAAAGAAGCTAAAGAAGCCGAAGCAATTGAACAAACTGCAGCTGCATTTGCTGCAGTAGAGACCCCACTGGCCTCAAGGGCCAATATCAATCAAAGGCGAACCAGTCGTATGGTCACCAGTGCCTATAGAGAGACTCTGGTAGCTCCACAGATACCGGAAATTAAACGAGAGAGCCCAAAAAGCTTTAAAGTTGCTCCTCTACTTGAGACTAACTATGCAGTACCAGAGGAAAATCTCTATGCCTCTCACCTCCCTGAGGAACTAGTGGCAGAGATACTATCGGACAGACTCCTTCACACTGACTGCAGGAGAGGAGTCGTGTTTGATGGACTCCAGTCTAACTTTACTGGCGACCAGTTGCTCTCTGCCGCTCTCATACTCAAGGCATTTCAAAACAGAAAGCACATATTCTTTGTTAATCTTGATCTTGACCTCGAGGGAGTGAAGATGAGGATTGAAGAAATGGAAAAGGAGAGGCAGAGAATTATTGGTAAGCAAAAGAATGAAGCCATAACTTAATTAGTTTATATGTACATGTAACATGTCGTGTACATGTACATGCGTTATTTTGTATAATTTTATGTCTCGCAGATGAGGAGTTAAGACTAAAGAGGCTGGAGAAGGAGAGGATTGATGCTTTGTTGAATATGAGTGAAGATGAGTACGAGGCACTCCCAGCAAACAAGAGAAAAGAAATTGATGACATAAGACACAAGAGATACATGGAAAAGAGAAGAAAGAGGTAAGGCAATCACTATTGTAGCTATACATGTAAATGTACATGTATACATGTACGTGCATGTACATGTACATGTACATGTTCATTAATGTGCTAATTTGCTGATGTACATGTATGTACATGTACTTGTGCTGTTTTTGTTGCCTCTAGAGCTGAAGAGGAGAGGAAGGAAAGGGAAAGGATAGAGAGAGAGAGGCGAGAAGAGGCTCAGCGCTTAGAGGAAGAAAAAGCAAAGACCAAGAAAGGCAGGGGACAGCAGCAGCAGCAACAGCAGCAACAACAACACGCAGCACAGCAGAAACCTGCTCCGGCTGATATTGCCAAACCATCTCCAGCTCATGGCGGTTCATCAAGACCAGAGTCAGCCATTTCTACTCACCCAACGACCCACCCCTTGGGAACACAAGGAGCCATGGCCTCCACTGCTAGTATTGTTAGCAGTACCAATGAATCACAGCAAGGAGGGTATGCTCAGTGTACATGCACCTGTGTATTATTCACATTAATGTATTGTAATGTAGAAATTAAGAGTTTTAATTTTATTTTTATTCATAGTAAAAAGAAGAAAGGTTTTTCAAAGGATTCTAAAGATGATGACTATGACATAAAAGATGAAGATTTAAAGAAAAAGTATGAGACCCAATGAAGCCCAATACAATATCTTTTTTGAAAAAAAAGCACAGGCTATAGTACTCATTTTTTTAAATGGACATTATCTCTCCTATATTATGTAACATGTACTCCTCTCTCTCTCTCTCCCTATCATCTTTATATTATGTACAATGTACTACTCTCTTTCTCTCTCCTCTTTCTCTCTTTCTCTCTCTCCCTCCCTCCCTCCCTTCCCCTTCTGTACACACTCTGTGTTAGGTTTTCCTTGTACGAGTCATCAAAACAAAGTATTAGGAATTTACTCGATAATTGGGACAGAGCCAAAGGAGCCGTGAGACACAAGAGAGCTCCTCCTCCTCTTAACCTCGAGCCTGAGACTGAGAAACCTAACAAAATAGCCACACCAAAGAAGAAGATAAGAAAGGTTCAGTATTTGAGCATTTGTGTAGCATATTCTTCCTTTTAATTATTTTTACAATTATACTTGTGTTGTATAGAAACTTTAAGCTGATTCCAATCAAAATTAGATTTTTTATGAATTTTTAGTTGCTTCAAAATTGAGCCAAATTCCCTGTACTATTACAGTACAGGGTCATTGGCCAAATTTCATCAAAAATGACTAGGCAAGAATTTTTTATTTTTATAGTTGTTCCTGATACATGTAAATATACATGTTCTTATGTTTTGTAGAAAGTTTGAACTGATTCCAATCAAATTGGATTTTTTACGAATTTTTAAAGTTGCTCCATACGCTACATGTACATGTATTATGCATGTACTTGTCAGCTCCATAAAGCGTGCTTTTTAGCTCACTTAGCATGCTTTGGCTGCATGTTCATATACCGTATAGCGGGTATATTTTGTCTGGAAAAATGCTTGTTCTAAGCAGGATTAGAAATTCTTGTTCGTTTTATTTTTGTTCTGAGCAGCCATTTTGCACACGTGGCATTGAGAAAACGCCTTTTTGTTTGGAAAATGTTCATTCCACGAGGAATGAGAACGAAAAGAATGAAATTAAACTCTAAAGGAATATACCCGCTATACGCTACATTTTTGTAGTGACATGTAATTTAATGTAGTGAAGGTACATGTACATTGTAATTATTTCAAATCCCGTATTACAGAGTGGAGTTGGTACGAGACAGGAAACAGCCTCAGCCTTATCATCGCAGCCGACAGGACTGGAGTCAGTGGTACCAGTCATTGAAGATGATGATGAGAACAGAGAGGGTGTCGGTGTCCCTGTCATATACTTCCCCAGCACTAGAGGAATTGATGAGGTCTATCATTCAATAAGAGACGTCATACCAACACTCAATGAAGTGAGATTTAGCTATACATTATAATACTGTACCAGTAGTTTTATAGTTTCTTTTAGCAGTACAAAAATTTTATTGGTAGACATGTATTTTACATAAAATTAATTTTACTTACCTACCGTATAGAATGATTTATTTGCGAGGAATCGGTATTGGTGATTGGCAGTTTTATAAAGAAATTTTCAATATAAAATTTATATTTTGTTTTTTTCTGAACATGCTCAATGGCACGTACATGTACATGCATGTAGCACAAAATCACCAATATAAAAATTCACCAATTAAGTTTCCACAGGAAATTTACCAAATATTACTCTCGCCAATAAATCATCTTGTATGGTACATACTGACATGATGTACACGTACGTGTGCATGTTCTTGTATGTTTATTGTCTTATGTTTTCATTTTTATGTTTTTGTCAGATTCTAAAAGGGCTTGGTCTTGGTCCTGATGGTAATCCAATACCTGATCCAATATCATTTCAAGTCTATCACTATCCTGTGAAGAGGAAGCCGATACAGCGAACCCTACAGGAACACTTTCTATTCATTGAGCACCAAGACAGTGATGTGTAAGCCATTGAACGATACTCTATGCATCATGATACATGTACATGTATACATGTGCACATGTTTTATAATTACATCATGTACATACATGTACTTGTATACATGTACCTGCACTTTCTGTTTTGTGAGAGTTGTGAGAAATATTCTATTTTTACTCTCTCTCTCTCTTTCCCTCTTTAAAAATGTCTCAATCACTCATTTTTTCTCTCTTGATATTCTTCCTCTTCTTCCCTCTCTCTCCCCTCCCAGTAATCTTATTCATGAAGAGTCCAAGCTTTCATTGGAGGATGATATGAGAGTAGAGTCTCCAGACCTCGCCTCATCAAGGAAGAGAAGTGGAGGCAAGTCAAAGGAAGACCTACAGCAGAGGAGACCCTCCGTCAAATCAAGAGCCACCAAAGCATCAACTCCATCACCACAGCTTGAAGACACACTCACAATGAGGTACAATGTACATATGTACACATATATTGATCTACATGTACATGTACATGCATGACATGAATTTTATCAACCCCCTTATCTACTCTTGATTATTATTTATAGTGACGATGTTATGGAGCAGCAGAAGAATATAATCAGGTTACTATTATTTTTACAATTTTTATTATTTTACTGTGAATATAAATGCAGCACATAAATATACATGTACATGTACAGTACGTGTAATATAAATGTTGATATCTTTTTATTTTGTATTTTGCTTTAGACTAGAGAAGTATCGTTGGATTATTCCTCCTAAATCTGATCAAAAGCTAAAATTATTATTTACATCACAAGAGGAAGGACAGTACGACCAGACACTCAAGTTTGAGATAGTCGGGACAAGACGTCAGTACCAGCTGTTCTGTAGAGGAACATGTCAACTACCTGTCATTAGCAAGGAACCAAGGTATCCCATAAATACATGTACATGTACATCTAATGTATATACATAATAATATTACATATAAATGTATATAATGTGTACCTTAAGCCTACTATTTTTAGCGTCTACTAAATTTAGCTATATTAGCGAGAGAGCTTTAAACCGCTAAATTAAATAGACGCCAAAATAATTATTATTTATAGTTAATTTGGTTAAAAACGCTAAAATTAGTAACACTAAACATGACTTTTGCTGATTTTGCTAAAATTAGTAGACGCAAATAATAGTAGGCTTAAGGTATATTTTATTATTATTTTGTTGTACATCATGTAGTTAATACTATACATACATGTATACTTCTTGTGTTTTATCTGACACGTACGTATTATGCTGTGTTAGTTTGTTTAACTTATTATTCTTGCAGTGTAAAAAATACATGTACATTTATATAGCAATTAATGTACAATAGTAATAAATTATAGAATGATTTAATGTACTACATGTAGCTGAAAATTTTACGATTGCTTCTTAAATGCACTAAGTCTTACTTTGACTGAATTTTTCCCTCTCACTCTCTCTCTCCTTTTGTTTCTCTTTATGGTTTAAATTCATCATGCTCTTTCCTCAAGGATTGTGTTCCCTCATCGGAAGAGAACAATAAAGAAAGGAGAGATAGTCTCTAAGAAGTTCATCCTTGACAAAGACGAGTTCTACTTTGGTCCACTCCACTGTGGCAAGCCAAGGGAGAGGTATAGAGAAGGGAGATATCCTGAGAACATGGAGACTATCAATATTAGCAATATCTGTGGGATGGACGTACAGGTTGCATTCAGTTTTAAGAATGATGTTAATGCAGCCACTTTCCTATTGGAGCCTCCTAAAATGACACTCCAGCCAAAAGAGAGCAAGGTATGTACAAATGGCAATAGCTATAGTAATACAGGTCATTTGAAAGACTTGTTATCCTAAGAAAATTGCCAAACTGTATTTAATGGTTACTGTAGTACTTATCAATGTTCTTTCTTGTAGTCGTTAACTGTGTGGGCGTATCCCAAGGGTTCCGGAGAGTTTAGAGATGAATTGGTCTGCTCTGTTTTCAATAATCCTAGACCCATAACCTTCACCATGTGCTGTCATGGCGTTGAGCCTGAGCTGAAGGTGGATAAGAGGGTCCTAGAGTTTGGAAGAGTTTTGCTTCACAGGTACTGTACATGTACAATTTAAAAATGTTTTGAATATGTACACTGTACATGTATATGTACTGTTATTTTTCATGTAATGTGACTTTCTTTTTTTACTTTTTCTTTGTTTCATTCTATCTCCCTCTCTTTAATGTACATGTACTTTGTATCTCACTTTTATTTTTTCTTGTTACATGTACATATACATATTCATTTACTCCCTCTCTCTCTCTCTCTCTCTCTCTCAGACGTGAATCTCGTGTCCTCCATTTGCGTAATAACACACTACTGGCAGCAGCCTGGAAGCTGAGTGGTACAGAGACATTAGGAGATGAGTTCACATTTAGTCAAGAGCAAGGGATTGTCCAGCCTAAGTCAGAGTTCCCTCTCACTGTTCACTTCAGAGCAGTCAAACCTGCTGCCTCTAATGCTGGGAATAAAAAAGCATTTAAAATTGAGGTACAGTAATACTTGTCCTTTCTCTCTCTCCCTCTCTCTCTAATTTTAAATCATCGAGTCCATTGTTTCATTTGTTTCCAGATATCTGATGTAGCACAGATCATTGGGTTAATGCACGTTGAGAATGTTATCCTACAGGCAGAGGCTTATGATGTGGCACTGGATATAAGCTTTCCTAAAGGTCAGTCAAACATCAGTGCAACACACCATGCATGCACATGTACATGTGCTGTAAATGTACGTGCTGTACATGTACATGTATCTTAAATTATGTGTATAGGTACTGATGGTGGGCTTGACTTTGGTACCCTCAGAGTACATGATGAGCTTAGACTTACAATGCAAGTCAAGAATAGAGGGAAATATGACATTGCATACAAGTAAGGATCATAGTAGCATAGATACATGTGTATTATAGGCTACCTGTATATAAGGATATTAGGGTATTTTCTCATGTACATGTAAATGCTTGAATGTGTTATATTAATGCTTGTGTATATACATGTAAATGTATTTTTTTTTCTTTTCTCTCTTTTTTTAGTTTTTCATTTGATGCTAATCCCGAGGGTCCATTGTACTCAAAGTGGTTGATAGTCCATCCTGTGAACAGCATCCTAGTACCTGGGGAGAAGTCTCAGACTGTCTCAGTTACATTTAAACCTGACAGAGAACTATCAATCAGTGATCAAGCTATACTCAAGTGTCAAGTATGAGAATCACCTACATGTACACACACAGTATTACATGTACTGTCATACATGTACATGTATCTTTTATGTACATGTATATGTACAATGTATTTTTGTAGGTCATTGATACACATTTGGGTGAGCATGGAGAGGTCATTGCTAACATTCCAATAAGAATATCAGCTAAAGCTGTTTACTCAAAGTAAAACAAACATACATATGTACATTATGTACATACAATGTACATTGTACATACTGGGGATATCCATGCATTTACATGTACTGTACATTTATATATGTACATGTATACTATACAGTTGTACTGTGGTCTCTTTAGGTTTGCAGTGACTCCTACTACTGATGTCAACTTTGGTTGTATAGTAATTGCTGGTCGTAAGTCTAATTCATTCACCATTGAGAATAGAGGATCCTTTGAGTTCAAGTATGCAGTTACTAAGAAGCTCCCTCTTGATGTACAGAAAATGAGACAGTAAGAGACATACATTATATGTACATGTACATGTACTGTATATGCATGGACTCAATTGCACAGTAACTCCAATTGGTATTTGTATTGATTTGCTTCGCTTTGTAAGATGCATATTCTAAGTACATACTGTAAGTAGGACTGAAGTACAAGTAGTTATTGTTGTCATATCATTCTCTCCCCTCCCCCTCTCTCTCCCCCCTCCCTCCCCCCTCTCTCTCTCTCTCTTTAGGAATATAGGTACTGGTGTCAATGCTCCTAAAAAAGCTAAAGGTGACCTCTCTAGTGCATCTCGCTCTTCCTCTATTGCCAGTAAACTCAATGTATCAATGAGAGGAAAAGATGGCGGCTCATTAAGGTAACACTTGCATGTACATGTATATGCACATTTAGATGTACATTTTACTGTTAGTCTCAGTCTGTATTGTATGTATCCACTGCCCTCTACTCTCTGTAGGTATGAGATAATGGGTGGTGCCACTCAGAGGCTGGTGGTTGGTATGTTTAGTGTAGCCCCAGCTACTGGTGTAGTCACTGCTGGTCAGTCACAGACCATCACTGTTGACTGTATTGCTGAGAGACCTGGGAGACATGACGAGGTACATGTACATGTATATTGTACATGTAGAATATACATGTACACGTAAATGTAGGGAGGATTTTTAGATCACACTTGCATGCATGTTGTGGCTATATCTACATGTACATGTATTTTAGTGTAAAATTTTTAAAAGTTACTTGGCCAAAGACCATACACTTTATTTTTTACTGTTATGTCTCATGTACTGTAGCTATTATCTATTGAGATATCTGACAGCAACAGGAAGGATATGCCAATGTTGTATAAGCTATGTGGTGAGGTCATGATACCAGCCATCAACAACTCTGACATTGGAGCAATCTTTGAAGAACATCGCATCTGCAAGGAGCTTGGAGTATTTGGACCTCATCAGTTCCATGACGTATGCATTAGTATTGGAAATGTAGTTTGTATTTTAGTGGCTTTATTTCAGGAGGATATTGCTGGTGTCTATGGAGAGAAAGAGAAGAGGTTCGTGTTTAAGAGCGTCATTGTTGGGAGCAGCTCCAGAGCAAGAGTAAAGATTATTAATCCTAACAAGGTGAGAATTAGTGAGAAAGAAAGAAGCACTGTACATGTACATGTACACGTACAGTACATGTACATGTATGGAAGAGGAAGGGAGGACAATAATTGTAGGTATTATGTTTTTTCTTTGTTTTCTATTGCAGATTTCTTGTGATGTTCTTATTAATACAAAGTCTTTGTCATCAAGTAGCTCAAAGCAAAAAGGAGTCACAGAAGCATTTGAAGTTGTACCAACCAAAGCCTCAATATCTCCTCATTCGCACATTTATGCTAATGTCACCTTTAAGCCACTCACAATGCAGGTACTGTACATACATGTATGTAGTCATTATGTACTTATTGTGATCTACATGCATGAGCATTGGAAATTGCAATTACAATTACATGTAGCACTTTTGATAGCCTAAACTGGTACAGATTGGCCCAATCTCTCACTGGCTCAATCTTCTTCAAAGCACTGGTTACATACTACATGTAGCTTTGTTCTATTCTTCATTTATTCTCTTCGTTTTCTTTATTTCTCTTACAGACATACAGTGCAGTCTTTGAGGCACTAGTAGAAGGCCCAACCCAAGCAAGAGGGAAAGGATTATCATTTGAACTCCAAGGAGAAGGAAACCTCCCTCAGATTTCCATACTCCATCCAAAGACATGGAGCACACAGGGAGAGTACCTCATGCTCTTTAAGAACCTGTTCGTAGGAGAAAGGGAGATACTACCAATCGTGCTACAGAACATTGGGAGCATACCAGCAGTCCTTAATGTCACTCTCTCTGACCATGAGGTCTTTACTCTCTTCGAGCCAATGGCTGACATTGATGACACTGAGATCTTTTATAATCCTTCCCTCTCCTCCTCCTCCCCAGCCTCTCCCATCACTCTTAATATTCCTGTTGGCTCTAAGAAAGAGTTGAGGGCAGCTTTTTGTCCTAGCAGTGTCTCACAGTACCGGAGCACAGTCCACTTGAATATAAAGGACAATCAGTTTGAGTCTATGAGCATAGTCCTGGTTGGTGAGGGCTATCAGAGTGATGTGGTCATTGGGAATGTTAAGAGAAGGTCTAGTGAGAGATTCATTGAATGTGAACAAGTTTTTGAATCAACTGAAGGTACGGCTACATGTACTTTTACTGTATATTATGCATGTGTACATGTACATGTACTCGTAGTGTACATGCAAAGATAGAAATTTTAATAAAACTTGCATGTAAATTGTACAAAATAAATGATAGTACTTATTGTTACAATTGTTCTTTATTACAGCCAACAGGGAGAGCAATCTCAATTATGGAGTGACCCCAGTAGGAGAGGCTTCTCACCTCACCTTTACCCTCTCCAATCTCTCAGCCACTGACCCCATTAGGTTCCAATGGCCTGTGGTCCCTTGTCTCTCGTTCTCTCCTGGTATTGGACACATCCATCCTTCATCATCAAGAGAGATAACGGCAGCTTTCACTAGCATCAAACCAAAGAAGTTTCAAGGGCAGAGATTTGCTGGGAAATATTGGAAGATCTCATATTCAAAACCAATAAGTCAAGTAAGAGTCTACTACTGATTGTGTGTACATAATACATATACATGTACATGTACATGTATATGTGTTTATGTACATGTATATTGTATGTACACATTAGGTTCCTGAATGGGATGATCTGATGAAGACAGTAAAGTATGTTAATGCTCCGAATGAGAGTAGACCACCTAGTGGTAAATCAGAAGGAGGTGAGTACTGTATATGTTCATGCTTTTCTTTAATCACATGTACAATTGTACATGTACTGTGCATGTATATACGTGTTCATGCTTTTCTTCTCTCTATAGCTACATGTACATGTACAATGTATAATTTAATTTTTTTAAATTTTAGTAGATGGTGGTAAGCCCCCACTGAAGGCTAAAGTGGTAGAAACAGAAGCCGAGCCAGAGCACAAGGTTTTTGATAAAACTGGTGAAGATCTTGACATATTCCTAACTGCTGAGGCAGCTTATGCTAAATACGAGTGTCCCTCAAGACTCATTGACTTTAAAGATACCTATGTACTCCAAACTAAAGTATTTAGGTAATCAAAAGAGCTAACAGTACATGTACATGTATATGTGACTGTAATTGACAAAAAGTACCTTATGGCAGCTAATTGTATTTTTTTAAAGCGAAGAAAATCCTACTTCCTGTGTTCCGTTGATAAAAATATTTTTGCACAAAATGCAAAAAGTTACTATGTAACTTCAAACAATGTTTTTCTAACAGACACATACCAGTTGATATTTTTTCATTATAATAATGGTACATGTGTACCTTTGTCAATTATAGTCACATGATGTACTTGTACATGTAAATGTAATATAATGCTACATGTACATGCATTCATGTTTATGCTTAATAATTATTGTTTTATTATGATAGTTTCCCATTGAAGAACACTGGTAAAGTTGTTCTCAGTTACAAGTGGTATGTGATCAAGGAGATTGAAGGAGCAGAGCCAGTGTTGAAAGATGCTGCCAAGGAGGATGAGATGGAGGAGCTATTGATACAGATAGACCCTTGCAAGGGAGAGATACCACCAGAACAAGAGCAGATGATAGCAGTTAGATACTCTCCACTTGAAATTGGAAGCATATTATACAAACTACACTGCAAGTATGTCAATCACTGCATGGGTACATGTACATGTAGTTATGGTATTTACATGTACATGTGCTGTGTAGCTTTATTCCAATCAAAACTCTTTTTTATTACAAATTTTAAAGTTTCTTAAAAATTGACCAAAAAAAGACCATATACAAAAATGGCTAAAAATGAGTCAGTTTTGGAAAAAAGCAAAGGCTATAGCCCATGGTTTTTTCAAAAATGGCTCCAAAAGTATCCCCAATTTTTATTACATTTTCTGATACACATTGATACCCTTATGCTGTGTAAAAAGTTTAAGTTGATTCTGGCAAATATTTTCCAAGCTACACGTACATGTACACATGTACATGTACATGTATGAGTATTTATCACTATACTTTTTGAAGTCTATGACTTTTATGGATATATTTTGTGAATGTATTGCACATTGTATTTATTTGTGTTATTATTTTTATTGTAGGATACAGCATCTTGAATCATCAGCGAAGCCACTAGACCTCATAGTTCAAGGAAACTCACTAGTTCCTTATTGTCATTTTGATCTGGCTGAGAGTGACTACCTGAGAACCAGGAGACCAACTAATGTTAGTGACAGTGCTGGCTGTGTCACTGGTAGGATTGACCCATGCTCTAAAGTCATTGAGTTTGTAGCTAAAGGGACTGGAGTGAGAATAATAAAGTCAGTCCATGTACATGTACATACAGTATTATACATTCTATTTTTTAAAGCTGCACTTGCACGTGAAAAATTTGAAGTAACTTGCTTTTTTAAATTGGCACAAAATTTGCCAATGTGTACTAGCTGCCACACAACCACTCCATGGAATAGAAGATTGAAATTATTTTGGCAATGTACCTGTACATGTACATGTATTTTTATACACAACTTCTTGTTGTAATTGTGATACACATGTTTATTGCTGTATGTACATATACTTGTAGGTCATTCCATGTTGTTAATCCTACTACTATCAATTATGAGTTTACTTGGAAGCAAAAGGAGGGGCCCAGTCAGATAGCGCCAGTATTCAACTGCTACACACCAAAAGGACAATTACCTGGTGGAAAGAAATATGAAGTAACTACGCATAAGCCCAGAAAAATTAAGATAATTTATGCTTACTAACTAGTTACTACAAATGTCCATTACATATGTATACCATACTTCTTTCTTTCTTTCTCTCTCTCCCTCCAGATAAAGTTTGAGTACATACCCACAACCCACGAGTACATTGAGGCACTCTGGGAGTTCTCTATCCCCTCCCTCTCCATTACCATACCTTTCCTACTGGTGGGGCAGACCCAGGAACCTAAAGTGAACCTTGACAGAGCCTACTTGAGCTTTAGATCAATGCTTATTGGTAAGAGAAGACTGCATGGGAGAAAGAAAGGGATGAGAGAGGCGAATCCTTAATTGAATATACAGTGCATGTACAGTAAAGGGAGATAGACTCTACTCTTCACCAAAATTGAAAAGGAGAGAATCCTTCATTTTTATAATTTTTTTGATGTATACATGTATGTTGTCTAGAAGGTTTCAATTAAAATTGGATTTTTTATGAATTTTTTAAAGTTGTGCATGTACATGTACATGTAGATGTACGGTGTAGTTAAGAAATTAGAGAGGGTACATGTGTATGACTTTAAAATATCACTTAGTCATTATATTTAGACATGTAAATGATGTACTGTAGGTAGTACAGCAAGAGATACAGTGTATTTAATCAACACTGAAGACAAGCAGTATCAGTTCTCCATTAATGAGAACAGCTGCTGCTCTGATGATAGAAGAGCTAAACTTAAAGTGACTCCAATGTTTGGATCGATACTACCAAATAGCAAGTAAGATACATGTACATGTACTTCACATTAAACGTGTACATGTACATGTACTGTACGTACATGTACATGTGTGTTGGTTATACTGGGTTCGTACATATTTAATTCTAATGTGGGCTTCATTGGGCATGGAAGCATTTGTTACTAAACTTAAGGTACATGACCACATACAAGTACTGTATAATATTGATTTGTCACCAGTGGTCAACCAGTCATTGAATATTCTAGTCATGTACAGTATATACATGTACATGTACATGTACATTACATGTGTTTCCTCTTCTCTAGGTTACCTATTGAGATATCATTCACTGCTGTTGATAAGAGAGAGTTTATATTTCATCTCACATGCAATATCAAGAAGAAGCCGACTCCACTAACACTGAATGTTAAAGCTGATGTGTTTGCTATTAGTCTCTCACTCTCAGCCACTGATACTAACGGACGAGAGATCGCATTACCCGTGGATAGAATGGCCCAAAGAACCATTGACTTTGGAACTGTAAGATGCTCCTACATATTGTTGTACATGTACATGTACATGTATAGTTACTAATCATTCATAAACTACATGTACATGTACATTTATTTTGTATACATTTGAATAGCATAAATTGTTTTTAAATTAGAAATTTTTGGTATTGCGTGCATACATGTACATGTGCACATGTAGATAAAGTTTTTTTATTTAATTCTTAGGTCCCAATCAATGACAGAGCACTCTGGAGGGTTGGCATTAAGAATAACAGTCAGTTCCCATTGCATTACGACTGGAGCTTGTCACCAAATTGTCACAAGAGAGGGGGAGCTGAGGATAAGCTGGTCCGCATGACTCCCATCAATGGATCAGTGATTGCTCACACTAAAACTAATAATGAACTTGTGTTCTCTCCTTCAAATACAGCAGCTCTCAAGAATTGTGAACTCATATTGCAGGTACATGTACATTATTGCAGGTACATGTACATGTATATCGGTGTACATGTACTCTAAATGTATATCTGCATAAGGACTTCGGTCAAGTTTTATCAAAAATGACGAAGAGAAAATTTTCCATTTTTTGCATTTCCTGATGCATATACATGTACATGTTCTAATTTTTGTGTATAAAGTTTGAGCTGATTCCCATCAAAATTGGATTTTGCGAAATTTTAAATTACATGTACATGTAGATCCAAATTTTGTCAAAAATGACTAGGAAAGAATTATTCATTTTAATAATTTTTCCTGATACGTATGCATGTTCTTATGTTGTGTAGCAAGTTTGAACTGATTTTGATCAAAATTGGGGAATTTTTATTAATTTTTAAAGTTGCTCATTGGCCAAATTTTGTCAAAAGTATGCATGTACATGTACATGTCCTTGCGTATCACAATAGATCATTATGCATACAACAGGAAACACAATAAGAATATGCATTTTGCATATTTTTGGGCAATGAAATATCAGGATAGTTGTGCATGTAATGTACATGTACATATTAGTGCAACACAAAGGACTGTTATGCAAATGTCACTCTCTTCCTGACAGCTAGAGGAATGGATTATTGTATTCCACTACAAGTATTTGACTGTGAATGCCTTCACTTCAAGCTTTGAACTGTGTTGACAATGTCTTTCTGCTACTGTTTGACTTCTCTCTTGAGTATATTATTGCTATTATTCTTTGAGGCTGCATATGAAGCCAGTGCCTCACTGGATTGTATGTCTGATTGCACTAGTCCCAGTGAGACTCCTTCACTCTATTACCAGTACTGCTGCTTATCTCCCAACAATGGAAGAAGAATCGAAATGATTAAAGATGACCTTGTCACTATCATAGTCTGTCCCTTTAATGGACTACCTGAGTCTTTCTGTGAGACTATAGGGAGCAATTACTATTCCTGCAGTGAAGTACTAGAGAGATTACCTAATACAGCATCAGGCTATTACAGCCTCACTCTAACTAATGGGAGTATCATTAGTGTGTACTGTGATATGGAGGGCAGTAGTTGTAATGGTACTGGTGGCTGGATGAGAATAGGATATGTTAACATGACAGAACCTGGGTCTACCTGTCCCCAAGGACTTTACCAATACACTATTGGAGGAAAGACACTCTGTGACAGGTCCAACTCTTCTTCCACCTCCCAATGTAATGCAACTTTCTTTTCATCCATGGGACTGAACTATACTGAAGTGTGTGGGCAGGTTAGAGGATACGAGTTTGGCTCATATGCAGATAGCTTTAATTCTTTAGACATTGATGGAGTCTATGTTGATGGTGTCTCAATTACTTATGGTAGCAACCCACGCAAGCATATCTGGACCTATGCTGCTGGTTACGCAGAAGACAAGTCTTCTGATGCTTCCTCGTGTCCTTGCATTACTGAATATGGTGGGGAGCCTACACCAGATTTTGTCGGCAATCATTATTATTGTGAGGCTGGAACAATAGATGCCAATCTTACCGATGGTAGACTGTACCCTGATGATCCACTGTGGGATGGGCTGCAGTGCAGTATGTTGGAGTCTCCTTGTTGTATTTCTACTGGTATGCCATGGTTTGTTAGGTCAATAGTCACAACTGATGATGATATTGAGCTGAGGGTGTGTAGCAGTGAAGGGTATCCTGATGAAGCCACTCCAATTGATATTATTGAACTATACATTCGCTGATGTCATCACATTAAGTCTTAATCTTTGTCCCTCCCCCTCTGCTTTTTTTTAATAGTTTGAGTAAATAACAAAATCAAGTTTCAGAAACAATAAACTAGGAAATGAATGCACTTTTAAAAATATAAATAAAATGCACTGCTATAAAATTATGATCTTACATGTAGCTGGCTAACTAACCAACATACCAGCTACATGCATGTTATACCAGTAATGTAGCTTTCATGTACATTTACATGTACATGTACATGATCAGTATAATTAATTATGAAGCTACCTCTCTTTCTCTCACACACAGATATCAAACGGTCCAATACTGCCTATAACACTAAAAGGCTGTGGCATAGAGCCAAGTGTTGAATTTGGTTTCACTGAGTATGATTTTGGCCCACGTTTCCTTCATCATCCTAACATGCCTCCCAACGTCACAACCATCTCCATCACAAACAAAGATGTGAAGGAGCTGAGTATTGACTGCAATTACATTAAGAACCCGTACCTTGATCTCCTCTTTGAGCCTCAGATACTGGAGCCTGAGGAATGCATGGAGATTGACTGCTATTTCAGGCCTCAGGAGCCAATCAGGTACTCGGAAAATATGGTGTTTGAGATAAATGGGATTTGCAAGAAAACAGTTACTATTACTGGACAAGGAGCACTTGTTAAGGTTTGTCATTCCTATTACATTACTACTGTGTCCATGTACATGTGTTTTTTTATAATTTAGGTTGAGGCACTGCAGAAAGTGGTCAACATTGGAGCACTGATAGTCCATGAGAAATCCAGCAAGAAAGTTAAGCTAGTGAACAAGAGTCCGTTAGCAGTGACATTCACTGTTAATATTGTACCCAGTGCTCAAGTACCAGCACTGCAGGAGGTTGGAGTCCTCTCTGTCTCACTCTGCCCTAACAAACTTCAGCAGTTAGGACCTGATAAAGAGATCACACTTAAACCAAAAGAGGCTGTAACTGCTGAAGTATTGTTCTGTCCAACTAGTAGAGTCCCTCAATTCTCTGAAGAGGTAATGCACTACTCAAAAAGAGCTAAATGTAGTATTATCACTAAAATTAATGTAACATTCTGTGATTAAATGTTGTCTTTATGCTACAGGTAATAATGGAGAGTCATGGTCTCTCATATCCTTTGTTTGTTGTGAGGGGATCTTGTCAAGGATTAGAGATATCATTGGACTCTGATCACGTCCCGTTTGGTGCAGTTGTAATGAACAGTAGGAGCTGTAGGCGTATACTAATGATGAATACTGGGGATATTGGAGCCAAGTTAGTCTAGTAGAGACTAATACTATTATTACATGTACATGTGTGTATCATTGTCAAAAGTATTAATGCATAAAACTTCTCTTTTAGATTTAATTGGGATGCCGAGAAGTTTGCACCAGATTTCTCTATTTTTCCAACAAGTGGCTACATATCACCTGGAATGGAGGTATTGTACATGCATACATCTACTCTTGATATACATGTATTTGCACTTAAATTTTTGCATGTATATCATATACTGTAGCACATACTTGCCAGGAAAGTGGGCAGTACTTGTACATGTACATGCACATGTACATGTACATCATTTATTCTTTTATGCTGTAGGTTCCATTTGATCTGATATTTCATCCAAGGGGAATGCAGAGTGACATTCGTTATGATAATCTCAAGTGTCACATTGAAGGAGGCCGTCCACTCAAAATTACCCTCTCAGGAATGTGCATTGAGCAAGTGCCATATAAGGAAGTATGAGACTACTTGTACGCATGTACTGGGACTTAATTTTTATTAATCACACAGGTCCTTAATTTCAGTACTAACGTAAGAACTAAAGAGGTTAAGAATATAACTATACATAACAAGTCGTCAGTCCCGTGGCTACTCAATCCTGTGATTGATGGTGAGTATTGGAGTGGGCCTGTCTCTATATCAGTTGAGCCTGGTCACTCTGCACATTATGAGCTAACTTATAAGCCACTCCTCATGACTAAAGACTCACAGAAGCACCAGGTAATCATGCATGTAATACAGTAGCAATGATGTATAATTATAGTCTTGTACTTAGAAATGTAGACATTCAATTAAAAAGGAATTTGTGAATTGCTTTGATTGATAAAAATTTAACTGATGCATGTAATGAGTTTGTTTGAAATACATATGTGTACATGTACATGTATTTTGTATCTGAGATACTTTATTTTTCTCTCTCTCTCTATAGGGTTCAATATTCTTTCCACTGCCTGATGGCACTGGTATATTATACAATATGTTAGGATCCGCTGATCCTCCTAAGCACTCTGGGTCTATAGTGCAAGAGATCCCGTGCAAGACCTCACACATTGAGTCCCTCACTGTTCAGAACTGGCTGAGACACCCTCAGAGGTTCAGGGCAATGATTGAGAACATCAGACCAGAGAGGCTGGATAAATCAGTCACACTATATGGCCTTGATTACATTGACGTGCCTGCTATGACTAAGAGAGAATATAAGATAAACTTTTATTCGTACAAGGAAGGATCTTTCCTTTTTAAAGTAAAAAAGTATTAAATACTATTTTGACTTTATGATGAATTGTGATTACTGTATAAAATATGAGTCCTTTCATTTTTGTAATCCAGGTGATATTCCAGAATGAGACTACAGGAGAGTTCCAGTTTTATCATGTTCATTTCAAATCAGTTCCATCAGGGATCATCAGCACAATAGATCTAACCACAGCAGTTAGGCAGAGTGTCTCTCACACTATCACTATTGACAATCCTTTCCCTATTCCCCTTAACATGACCACTTCTGTTAATGTACCTGATATTAGCATGCCTGCTAACTTCTTGATTGGAGCTGAGAGTCAGGTAGAGACTATCCTTTTATATATTGTACATATATGTACATGTACAATGTATGTGTACCAAAGCCTCTTATACATGTACATTGCACACATGTAGCTCTCAGTTATCATGTCTTTCTTTTCTTCTTAGGGTAAATGTACATTTGAGTATTTGCCACTCAAAGTTGACGAGACGGTTGGGAAGTTGATCCTCCAGTGTAATGAGTTAGGATCATATCAATATGAACTGCATCTGAAGGCAACCCCACCAACTGCTGAGAAACCAGTTCACTTCACTACACTCCTGGGTAGTACACAGACACAAACCTGTCACTTTACTAGCTATGCTAGAGGGAGAGTGGAGTATAGCTGTAAGGTAAGGGATGGGCCACACGTTATATACATGTACCAACTTGTCTGTATCTTATGAATTATGTCAATTAAGTTTGTTTTGAGCAGTACCAGTTATTTTATTACTCTTGGTTACATGATGTGTGTCTATTTTTTGTCCGATAGATTGATAATCCTGATTTCCATGTTGACAAGTCAGTGACAGTCACAACAGTTGATGTGACGTATGAGCCATCAACCCTTGGAGATACCAATGCTACACTAACAATCTCTTCATCATCAGGTATACATGTACTTCTACAGTGTGTGCTGTCTTAGAAGGACAGGGTGTGCATGTTTGTACAGCTAGAAATTTTTGCAGAGAATTAGGTTTTGTGAGTTTGCAGATAAATCAAAAGTGCGAAATTTAAATCCGCAAAATAGTTTAAATTATGCATTACCACAGTACATTATGCTACAATAACAACACTGCAAAAAATTAATCCACAAACAAAGTTATTTTTAAGGATTTGCAAAATTTTCTCTGCAAAATTAACTAGCTGTGTGTGTTATTAATGGTCACTGAAATGACGTTCTTGTTTTCTTAAAGGTGGTGATTACATGATTCCTCTGTACGGTCACTGTCTTGAGCCTAAGCCTCAAGGCCCATACTCCATTAAAGCAGGAGGGAATATCGTCATCCCTTTCAGGAATGTGTTCCACCAGACATCACAGTTCAGTTTTGTGTTGGATAATCCTGCTTTTAATATCAAGGCGAGCGAGACACTAAAGCCACGCAAAGTCCACAACCTGACGGTGTCTTTTGATGCAAGACAAGCTGATCCTAATATAGTGAAACTGGGCAAACTAGTTATATCCAGTAAGAGCAGTGGTAATCTCAAGTGGACCTACTACCTCAAAGGACTAGCATCTGAAAAATAACATATCTACATGTATTAACTATAAAAAGAGCATTTTAACACTTTATTTAAATATAATTTACTATTATTAAGATTAGAATATCCATTAACAAGACAATTTCAGAGCCAGGTATACCGATTGGCTGTAAGAGCCACTCCAGAAGAAGATATTCCCTTTCATCTTCACTTCTTTGCAATTAGCACCAATAAGTATCCCTTTCTCCCTACACTATCAGTAGTAGTGAAAGTGTTCATAATACAGTACATGTATACAAATGCCACAGTGCAACACAAATAGTGTCAAACTTTTTTGGGCTGAAACTTTGTGTCTCTGACCTTGTGTAAGTCATTGAGAGCTCTGTTTTGAAGGTCAGACTATAGCTCAGAGGCACCAAGTTCCTGTTTGAAAGACTCAAGATAAAGATCTTACTGTGTAATATCAATAGCGTCATGTATTAACCTTTCCTTTTACATTGTATTCAGCATTATTGTAGTTAGGTGTAGTACCAGCATTATTATGTGTGCAGTCATAATGCATATCATTTTTATAGATATTTGACTAACTAGACAAATAAAAGCATAGATATTGATAAATGTATTAGTAATGGTACTGTTTTACCAGTAGTATATACAAGATCTTTGGTCAAATTTTGGGCCAAAAATTAGAAATAGAGATTTAAAATTTTTTTGATACATATCTACATACATGCTGTGTTGTTTTTTTCAAGTTCTAATCAATTATTTGGATTATACAAATTTTTGAAATTGCTCCAAATATAGGTCAAAATTTTTGTACTAGCTACAAGGCTGCAAAAGTTGTGGCAGCCATTTTGAAGTGGGGTAAATCCTACTTAATGCTATGATGTTACTAATTATAGCACAACGTCATTGGCTAAATTTTGCCAAAATGGCTGGGAAAGATTTTTTGATTTTTATAATTATTTCTGTTCATAAACTTGTTGTTTGTCAAGTTTGAAAATGATTAATTGAATGTATTATTTATTGAGAAAAATTACAGTAATAAATGCGGTAACCAATTTTTTGTCATTTATGAATTAAATGACATATTCATAAACAGCAACAGTCTCATAAGCTGGATTAACATTTGTGTTTAATACTGATCCTTGTACTGATTGTTCAACTGAAAATGAGTGGAGCGAATAAAGTCAATTATATATTTGATGCCATGATGGCTTACTCTGTCCATATGCTGGATTATTGACTGTAATCTCAATAGAACCACCTTTTAAAATAAAAATATTTTGCTAAGCAAACTATTATAGCTGAAACAGCTGTACCTTTTTTCCATTTTCTCACACACCAGATACTAATAATGATGATTACAATCAGCAGTATTATTACAAATACTGTACCAACTATAGTACATACTAACACAACAACTGTGTCAGCTACACCATCTATTAAAGGCCTACTAGAGCTATCAAGAGTCTTAGTGCTATTAACAGTATGATGAGGAGAAAATGTGACTATTAATGCATATAAAACAAATAATTAAAAATTATAGCAATTAAAACATAATTTACCTGCGAATTCTACCTCCATAGACAATATACCTTAAGTCACATGAATTAATGAACTTGATGTCATGAATATAATACTTACCAGTACTACGTATAGTCACTACAGTGCTGTAACTGCTACTATATACAATAGAAGGAATAACAGTGTATACATATACATGTTTAAGTTTTACACAAGTCCATGGTAGAATGCTGCCATCATCGCTTATATCATATCCAGTTACATTATATACTCCACTGGTTAATAATTATATTGTATTAACCAATCCAGTTATATTAAAGAATTCCTTCCTTCCATTACTACTATCAGTAAATACCACATGACATCCATCAGCAGTTGATCCTGATGCAAACACACACTGTACACTAACTGATTCATTCCCTTTAGTAGATACTAGTACATCTTTTACATTGTATGTAGCTTAAGGTAAAGTAAATAAATTAAAAGCAGTCTATGAAGTATGAACTTACAGATAGTCGCATTATCTTGATTTTCAACAGTATAAGTCTTGCATGGTTTGAAGATACAACATAGCAACGGAGAGGATTAGTATTGCAATCAACTGATGATCCATTAGAAGTAACCCACGCTCTATCAGTCAGAGTAGAATTCGGTAAAGCACACATGACTCTATTGCTATGTCCTCTAATGTGAGTATTATAGAATAATGATCTATTAGCCTGAGGATAACAGTTTCCATTATATACCCATATAATAACCTATACAGTTGTTATTATACACACACAATGTCTTACCTGAGGAAGGTGGACATTGACTAATAACTTCACTGAGACTCAACAAAAAGACAACAACAGTTAGCAGAGTCACTGCCATTCTGTGCATCAATAGTTTCAGGTATATAGAAACAGGCAGCTAGGTGTGTAGGTTGAATGTGATTATATACTATGTTGTACATGTTATGATAAATATGATAGTCGTTTGTTTTTACAAACGAGGAACTTTGCCACATATCATTAAGAATAATATGCCACCTTATATGCAAAATGTGGACAAAATAATAATAAGAGAGAGAGAAAAAAGACTTGTCTCTGTCATTGTTTCCTTATGTTAATCTCATAGATCTAATCATAGTTAGCCTATTTTATCAATGAAACGTACAGCATTTATTAACTTATGCTCCTTTGTCATTACACTGAATGATTTACAATTCATGCCTTAATTTGTAGAGGGATAGACACTTGCACTGCAAGTTACAGTCATAAAAAGTAAAACAATGGCATTTAAATGTACTAAGTCTTTAGCTTTGCTACAAATTAATCAAAATACATAAAAACTTTTTAGAATGCTAGCTGAGATTATTGATTACAATACAAGCATAGCATGATAATACTAAAGGAAGATAAAGGTGTGATGCTATAGCTGTCATATGCATAACTTTAAACAGTTTACTTAAAAACAGTGTACTTTGTTTGAAATTATTCTTTACCATTTCCTTTTGATTAAAAAGCTAATACTTACTATAATCTATAGAACCAACACATATTGTACTGTTAATATTACCAAGTCAATAGTTTTAGCAGTTGATTTGTATCCATTGAACAGATGCAGCATAATAATCATTCCTGTATAAACTTTTTATTGTTACATTATACATCATACTAGTAATACTACTGAACTAAATTATTTTGAGAGCCTGAGGATAGGAGAGCAAGAACCTGAAAAAATGGAAGAATGAGAGAAATATGTATAATATCAGTAATGATTATACATGTATAGGTACTACAGTCTATATATTACATTACCAAAACTTCAATTGCATAAATCAAAGGTCACATGATTTATGCAAATATTATAGTCCGCTTAAACCTCATCACAAGCTGCTGATCAATATAAAAGTTATATGGCATAAGGGATAAGTATATATTCATTAATATTAGAGTCAAATTTGATGTATGGACTAAAAAATGCTTGTTGAAATTAACATTGACAAAATAAATACTTATCTTAAAGAGACTTTTAATTTCTTGTATTTCTGCTCTAAAATTTAAGCTGATTCCAACAAAAATTCAGGTAGTGCTAAAATTACAGCATAGAGCTTGCTTGGGAAGGGATGGCCTGCTACCCTACAATAAGATGCAACTACTATTCCATGCTGATCTGCACTTAAGAGATGAGAGATGAGGAAATCTGTGGCTCCTGCCTTAGAAAGAGCTGTTTCTTCATCCATTATTATTGCATCTCCCAGCCACGCCCTAGCTAGCACCCATATATATATATGCATCATAGATACTACATACGGAAATTGATGCAACGTATGCAAGTTGAAGTGAGCAAAATGGCCGAGCAGGATCCGGAGGAACAGACACCTACGCGCACTACTCAAACGGTGGACAGTTCGGAAGCACCACCGGCTGCGCCTACCAGTGGAAGTGGTAAGAGATCTCGCGTAGGATCTTCAGCTAGTAGCCAGGGTGAACACGATGCCCCTCATTCCGAAGCGCAACTCGCCAACACTCACTTGGAGCATTTCTGCCTGTTGGATGTGTTCGCTCATCCTCACACCTTGAGAAACACTGGAATAATCTGCACTATTGGTGAGAAACCAGCCTATTTAACCACACACGCACACAATACATGTGCTTTATAAGTAAGCTTTGATCCCTTGTCATGACGCATATACGTGTTTGTGGGTAAAGATGAATAGCTTGAAATTATCTTAAACCTTGTCTTAAACTGTTTCATCTGAATTAATCTTTTGTTCAAAGAAAAGTCCATGAAAGGTCCATTGTATTTTTGTATAGCATGTACATATGTACATGTACGCCATAGTACGTTTCAATAGTATTGACATTCTTCACACTTCACATGCTTTTTCCAAAATTGTTCCCAAACCTTTACTAACTATATTGATGCCTCTAATATAAAAAGCTTGAGCTGAATGAGCTGATTCTGATTCAATTAAGAAAGACTAATTAAATTCCATTGCAAATGCCATAAATATGATTGGTAGAAAGTGTCATATAACTACAGCAAGAGTAGATAATAATTAGGAGAGTATTCTACCAGTAATAAGGTCTGCTTTATCACCGCATAGAATTGAAGAGTCACATTCAGGTTATTTCCATATTTTATTTGAGTAGTTATAGTTATTGCTAGTTATTTTTGAATAAGTACTCAAAAATACGGAAATAACCGGAATGGGACTCTTCAATTCTACGACGTGATGAAGCAGGGGGTATTGCACAGTAGGACACTTTCCTCTAATTATTATCTACTCTTGACTACAGTTTGTCCCATGAATGTGTAATGAATATTATAATATTAGTAGACCACCCTTAATTCAGAGGTGAATATTATTACATGTACGTGTAGCATTGTTTATTTATTTATGATTATTATAGGATGTTTATATAATCATGACATAATGTTTTTAATTTAGGTCCTGCTAGCCAGTCTGTGAGTGTCATGAAAAAACTTATTGATGCTGGAATGTGTATTGCTCGCTTGAATTTCTCACACGGAGAGCATGCAGTAAGTTTAATTTCCAATAAAATTTTGTTTAAATTGCATCTCTAATTTCCTCTCTTCTTAGTATCACAAGCAGACTATTGAGAATGTCCGTGCAGCTAATAAAGAGATGCCTGATAAGTATATTGCTATTGCTCTCGACACTAAAGGGCCTGAAATAAGGACTGGGCTCCTGGAAGGAGTGAGTATCATGTAATTTAATATTCATATACAAAGAGAGGGGAATTATTATTATTATTATTGTGTACATATGCAGGGTGGAGCTGCAGAGATTAGCCTCAAAACTGGTGACGTGCTGACATTGTCCATAAATGAAAAGTATAAGGACTGTGGAACTGGCTCCCTCATCTATGTGGACTACAAGAACATTATTAAAGTGAGAGTGAGAGAGGGAGAGAGAGAGGAAGGGAACGAAATGCATGCTTAACTTTTGTAGGTTGTCAAACCTGGGGAAAAAGTATTTGTTGACGATGGTCTTATTTCACTTAAAGTCACTGATAAAACTGACACTACACTCATAACTGGTTAGTTTGTGCTCTGTGTATGTACTGATCCCTCTCTTACTGTATAATGATTGATTATAATAGTTGTTCAAAATGGTGGGAATTTGGGCTCAAGGAAAGGCGTTAACCTTCCTGGGATTGTAGTTGATCTGCCAGCTCTTTCAGATAAAGACAAGAAGGTCAAACATATTGACTTAAGTATTATTACCATTATATTTTATTATTATTTCGTATCATTATTATTGTTGGTATACTTATCGTAGGATCTTGCTTTTGGCGTAGAGAACAAGGTTGATATGGTCTTTGCTTCTTTCATTCGCAAAGCTCAAGATGTCCACGACGTGAGAGCAGAATTAGGAGAGAAAGGAAAGAACATAAAAATCATTTCAAAGGTACACTAAATATCTCACACGACTTGTGTGAACAAAACTTCATTGTGCAGTGATATAATGTATGAGACGAATTCTAGCATATTAAAACTCTTATATTCACTGCCTTTTTGCCACGACTGTATTTCTATTATGAATGTAAATCTACCGTATATGGCATATATTTCGCGGGTATAAAATTTCGCGGGGATAAAATTTCGCGATTTGACTGCATTTTTCTATTTGCAAATAAAATTTTTTGCGATTTAATGTAATTACCACACCTACTATAGAATCAGCACGCTATTTTGCAAATTTTATTTTCGCGAATTTTTTCAAAACGCAAAAATCGTGAAAATTAATCCCCACAAAATATATGCCGTATACGGTATTTTTTATAATTTTCTACATGTCCTTAAGCTGTGTATCAATCAATCAAGTTTGAATTTTTATGAATTTTTAAAGTTTCTCCAAATGCTACGTACTGTATTGTAACAGTGCTTGTCAGCTCATGAAGCATATGCTTTGTGGGAAACCCTGTTTAGCATATTTTATAGCTTTCTCTCTCCCTCGTTCCACTTACATTGTATCTGTCTCTCTCCAGATTGAGAGCGAAGAGGGTGTACTTAATTTTGATGAGATTGTTGAAGCCAGTGACGGTATTATGGTCGCCAGAGGTGATCTTGGTATTGAAATACCGGCAGAGAAAGTTTTTCTTGCGCAAAAAATGATGACTGGTCGCTGCAACAGGATTGGCAAGCCTGTTATTGTTGCAACTCAGGTAAATCAACTTAATGCTATTAAAATGGTAATATTAATAATAATGATGATAGACTAATCCGTTTGATAATGGGTAGTACTAATGATAATATTATAGTATAATTATAGTAATGGTATTATAGTTATGATCGTGTTTTGGTTGTGATAGTGGTCTTGAGGAATTTTTTTTTTGAGTTGTCAGTGTTTGTCCTTTTTGACCTACAGCCCTTGAATTATTAAACCCTTTTCTATTCTCTTTCTCTCTGTCTTTGTCTCTCTCTCTCTCTCTTTGTCTCTCTCTCCCTCTCTTTCTCTCCTTCTCTCTAGATGTTAGAGAGTATGGTATCAAAGCCACGCCCTACAAGAGCAGAAACAAGTGATGTTGCAAATGCTGTTCTCGACGGAGCAGATTGTGTCATGCTGTCAGGAGAAACAGCTAAAGGTATGGGAAATCAGCAACACACACTTGATTATTATCATCGATAGCAATGATGATACTGTTTATTATAATTTATTATTAAGAATGAGCTAATATAGACAATGTGCATTGATGATCCAAAATGAAAGATAAGTCTTATGCCCTTTGCTTACATTATGACAATTCAGATCATCTTTGTTTATTGCTGCGTGCACACTTGAGGAAATTGGCATAAATCAATATTTATTAGGAGATCAAACAATATTCTCTATTAATATTGGCATTGTTATTTTGTTTACTGCTGCGTGCACACTTGAGGAAATTGGCATAAATCAATGTTTATTAGGAGATCAAACAATATTCTCTATTAATATTGGCATTGTTATTTTGTACTTGTATAGAGTTCCAGGGAATTTGTATTTGCCAGCAGTAGCAAGAGGATGAGCTTATTTTTTTGTATCATCAGGCCAGCAGCAGCTAACATAATCATGTCATTGTTTAAGCAAATTATTTACAAATTTTGTATTATTTGTTTTTCATCCCATGCAGGTAAGTATCCGGTTGAAGCAGTTGACATAATGCACAGGATTTGCTGCGAGGCCGAGTCTGCAATGTTCCATCGTGTGGTTTTTGATGAGTTGCGTCTCTTGACTCCCAAACCGACCGAGACACTGACCACCACTGCTATTGCAGCAGTTGATGCAGCTTTCTTTCAGAATGCAGCAGCTATCATTTGTCTAACTACTACAGGAAAGTATGCATGTATTATTTTCATATTGTATTTCTTGATGACCTAATGCAGTCACGGCCCATTTAGTTCTTGTGTTACTGTGTCAGTGTGTATTTCAGACTACACACATTCAATCACTTGATGACGTATAATTATTGTATCATTTATTGCTTATGTACATTTCCGTCTAAAAATCAGATTATAAAAAAACATATAGATATCTCTCTGCCAGTAATGCTTAGTAAAAGAAAATCACACTCCTCTCCTGCCAAATCTATTATGATGTCATTATATGTGTCTAGTATTTGTTGTTATTATTATTGTTGTTATTATTATTGTTGTTATTATTGTTATTATTATTGTTATTATTATTGTTGTTATTAATCGTGCATTCTTTTTTTAAAGGACTGCCTTCAATTTGTCTCATTTCCGTCCTCATTGCCCCATCATTTCAGTCACTAGAGATAGAGAAGTCGCTCACATTGTAAGTGCCTACATGTACAGTACAATATCGTGTACATGTACATGTACGATATAGTACGATATCATGTACATGTACTTGTATGGCCTCTGGCGTGATTTGCAAGAATACAGTAACAGACGTAGGTACTTTTTTGTTGTAAGAGACGACGATAGCATGTAATAAATTGATTACAGATGTTTGATCTAGTTTCATAGTATAAACATATATTCTTCAGCCAATAGAGCCCTTACAGAAGCAAAGTAACTCAATCATTACATGATGTGTGACCATAGTGATCAAATAAACTAACATGTATCACACTCCCATGATTATCAGGATTTTAAATTGTAATTGAATTTTAAAGTATTTTTAAGATGTGGTTTTCTCTATTGTGGTGGAGGACACCATGTCCTTATTATACTTCTCAGGATGTGTTTTATGAGAGTGTGTGTCAGTCTTTGGGCTTGAGAGCTCGTTGTTGTAGTGTGGGTAACAACTGTATAAGTGCTTTATCTTGGTTTGATGATTATATGGAGCCTCATAGTGGCTCAATTCCTTTATTACATTTTTAACAATGTCTTAATGGCCAATGCATGCTTAAACCTAATGAATATTTTAAAACATGCATGAATGTGATACCCTCATCTAATGTATACTATTAAAGTTTATTTATTCCTCATAGTGCCATCTCTATCGTGGCATACATCCACTGGTCTTCCCTCATCCAAAGGATAAATCAGACTGGGCAGACGATATAGAGAAGAGATTCCTTTACGCCATTGAGTGGGGGAAAAAGAAAGGGTTCATACAGAAAGGCTCAACCATTATTGCTCTTAGTGGTTGGAGGCCTGGACCTGCTAATACAAACACTATTAGGATCGTAACTGTGGAGTAACAGACTTAAGCCTTCTCCCATTGCTGACACTCATTATGTAGTTACACTATACATAGTCAAAGTTAGCTTAGCTTGTAGTGTGTAATCTTCTGCTGCTGTTATAATAGTCAAGTTATTAGTATTATTTGATTAGAATTTTAAAAAATACACACTTGTGCTTTATAATTATTATTAGCATCTTATGAAACTGTGTTCTATGA